AATTAATTAGATGGTTTATACTTATGTTTGATGGGTTGTTCTACAATTTAATTCATGCTTGTAGGTAGGTAGACAATCTATGATTGCTTAGATATTCCATGGCTTATTATAGCAAATTCCATGATTCTCTAGATTAATGTGTGCTACAATTATTGCTATTTAGATGGGTCATGCTTAAACTATATGGGTTGTGCTACAATTAGTTTAGGTAAGACAATTCATGCTTAAATTAGATGATCCATGCTTAGTATTGTAATTAGTAGTCGCATTTTGTTCACAATAATGTATTCCCCATTAATGGAAAGCAAGTGGTTAATTACATGAGCTTAGTGGTGATTCCAACACCCTAAGACCTCTCTTCGTATCTCTTAAATCCCTATCTCTAACTAGTTTACTTTACTTGCATTTTAATTTCATTGCACCTTAGTTTAATCAAACAAATCTCTATCTTTTGCAATCTTGTGATACGTTAGAGTTAAAGTTAAATTCCAACACGTATAATCTCTTGAGACGATCCCTTCTCACTCATACTACATAGTATAGGTGTTAAGCGGTTTATAAATTTAAAGTATGATGCCCACTTGACACTAATTTCCAAACTCAAAATATTGTGCATTATTTTGTGCACACGCTCGGGTCACATCATAGCTTTGAAGAGGAACATGAAAATCGATTTGAGTTTCCTCAGACTTGGTGGGTACTGATTGCTCGGGTACATTTGAGTAGGTGCCTGAAGTTATAAAAGTAAGCATATAAACAAAATACAAGCTTATATTTGAAGGTTAAAGGTGTAGAACTTACTATGTCGGGAACGAGACCTGGTCCTGCTTGCAGGAGCAGCGGGAGGAGGATGATTTGGCGTTGGGTCTATTGTGCTCTTTGGTTCAGGAGGGGTAGTAAGTGCAACATGATCAATTGAGTCCACGCCTTGAAAGTTAAGGGAAATAAATTTGTAGGAACAAAGAAGGCTGCATACAAGCAGGTTAGAATCTACAGTCCTAGTGAAGTTGATATATGATGACCACCAAGTCTCAAAGGCTGGAGTAGTATGTAGTTCTTCCATAAAGGGCTTGTAATGAAATTTTTGAAGGCACTGAGTGAATCGGTTGGTTACATCCTGAAATTGTTCACTATTCGAAAGCTTGACCCGCCGATGGTAGTTTTTGTTATAAGAAAAGTGGGGTGGTACTGGGATCATTTGGGTCAATCCGAATTGCCGAGCTAGCTGAACTGGATTATAAAATTCTACTCCAGTGCGGCTCTTTGGAAGATGGGGAGCAATTGTATTACAAGGAATATCCCTAGCAGTCAAGAAATGACCCCAAGAGTTATTGTAAAGTTCAACCTGTTCTATTGAAGACTCAGTAGTGGGAGGAAACGGCCAAGATGGAGCTAACCGACACTTAGAAAAAGGAAGAAATTGAGATAGAGTCCTGATTTTTACATTAATGATAGAAAAATTGAAAACAATCATTGAATGAGTGATCTTTGGGCTTCATTTTGGCATACCCGAATGACAGTAAGGGATCACTAGTACCAAACCGAATGGGTGGAGCTAATTCAGGGAAGTATGCATGTAGCCAGAATTGGTAAAGCCAAAAGGGGCCTCTAGATCTTGAGAAATTAGAGGTAATAAGATCAGACAGACCTTTATATAAGGAAGCCAAAAGAAACGGAGCTAAGGCCATGGGCTTTCCTTTGGATAGTGCAATGGCTAATTGGGTAAGATCTTTAGTGATTTGGATGGCAGGTGCACACAGTAAATACCTACGCAGCCACAATAACAAGAAACCTATGTGCTCTTGTTCATCTACTTCAGTTCCCTTTTCCCCCAACATTTCTTTTAAAAATGGGCTATGTGACTGTACAAAGGGTTTAGATTATTTTTGCTCTGGGAAATAAAAGGAAGTGTCTTCATCATAGAGGAGATAGTTGATCTCATCCCCTCCAGGTTTTAAACCAGTTAAAAAACAGACATCCCTCAATGTGGGGGACATCATGCCGCAGTGCAAGTGTAGTGAATTGGTCGTGGGGGACCAAAAGTGTAGAGAGGCAAATAATAGAGCTCGGTCAAAGGGAAGAGGAATCTTACTGAGATGGATGAGGTCAAAGATACCCATCCTTTTCCATTGATCTCCTTTCACAGCAGACACACGATCCACCCACTCATTCCATTGGAGCATTGGCGGATGCCAATTTCTGACGAAAAGGGTAGGTGTATCCCCTTTTGCTGTCAGGTAGAGAGGTTTAGAGAAAGGGAGATGTTGCTCGGCCTGTAGATAAATCGGCGATAGCGATGAGGGAATCGGTTCAGAAATGCAGGGCCAAGCCCCTTAGCATTTTCGGAAACATCGATTAACGTGGTAATATCCAGTTCATTGTGGTCTAGGGTTTTGATCGCTGATTTAGTAAGTTGGGTATGTGATGTTGCCTCTGGAAAAAGGGGATTCCAAATTCAAATCACTCTATTTTGGTAGTTTTGAAGCCATGACTGAAGGAAAGAAAAGACGAAGTTGCAGAGATATTCTGGGAGCAAAGTACTTTGGTAGAAGCAAGTTTGATTTGAGGAGAATCGTTTGGTTTTTCGTGAATGAGAAAGAAACGTGAAGTATAGGGATACCAAAGGGTCAACTGTATTATTAATGGCTGAAAGGATAGATTAGTGCATACGGCGGTTTTTGGAAGTCCCAACATTCATGATTCTTAGGAGATTATATGGTACATTCATGTTTTAACATAATGGTATTTGAATTTTGGAAGCCGAAGGGTTAAAACAGCTACCAAAATTGAGGGGCATTGTTGACACCCATTTTGGTATTTGGGCCATAAAGATATTGGGCTGGAGGCATGCGTTGTTGGACTAAACAATGGATTTAGGTTGAGACCGAATTGCTGTTTTATAAGGAATTGGTTTGGTATTGGGCCGATTGTAAGATGAGACCCGAATTGCTGTTTGATAAGGAATTAGTTTGGTATATGGGCTGATTGTAAAATGGGTTTTGAAGGAAACGGTTATGTAGGTTAATATGGAGCATAACTAGCGTGCAAGGATTGGGTTAAATTTAAAAATGGATAAGGATTGGAGTTTGTAGTTTTTATCTTTTGGTTAATGTTAGTTAAGTATAGTTTATCAGTAACATAGTTTGTTTTAGTTTAATAATTAGGCTATCAATGAATTTGATTTGGATTTAGTAGTTAATTATGTGATAGAGTTTGATGTATTTAGAATGCTTGTATGTCCAGCACTCTCAGAATCAATTTATTATTTTGTTTGTTTTCTCAAGCTCCTTCCCCAAATAGCATCATTGCTATCTTTATCTCTCTCTCTATTTCAGTCTCGTTCTATTTCTCTCTCCATATCTCTTTCTCCCTATCACTTTCTATATCTATTTCTTCCCCTTTCTATTCTCTTGATACGTTACTATAAATTGTTTACTGGAAAGTCCTTTTAACTAAGGCAGTTTTGAACCCAAAGAGGAATTTTTCTGTTCCCTTTTTCCTCGCAATCGTCTGAAAGTCAACTCGCTCAAAGGGACTAAAGTTGACAATCCACACATTGAACCATATATTTGGTTCTGGCACGCCCGCTCCATCTCAATCTAAGATCGGATCTTAGGAGCCGATTTTAGTGTCAACACCTACTGCAAATTTGCGTCGCCAAACATATTTTCGTTTTCAATTCAGAACACTTCACAATAAAATCCTTGTTTTGTTTCGGGATAAAATAAAACGCTAAAAACACAACGCATGACAAACTGAGCCTTGATTTGGAACTTTTTTATTGGTTGAAGGATATATTTTTGGAGGAATGACATATAAGAATGCAGCTGATGGAATAACCTAGGGATGACAACATACCGTCGATTGGGTGCCAACTTTACCATGTCTCATTTAAAACGGTTATAGAGGTGATTAAATAATTTTGAGACGGGAATGAAAATTAGGATTAAAAACTTGTATGATTTTGAGGCGAAGATGGGAAAAGTCACCTTCTCTGCCCTACTCGTTTATAGTGATAAACTGTAATTTTATTTTTATATTTTGTTTTATATATTAATCAAATCCTGTTTTTTCTATTCCAATCATAAATACTAAATATCCTTTTGTTACGTATTATTTGGATGTTCCTATAAAAATATTAAGTTTAAAGTTTTAATTGAAAAATTAAATTTCGTTTTTATTCAAATAAGATAAAAAAAATTATTACCGTAATTGAAAATTTACTTCATCGTTTACTTTACTTAAATTTGTGATACAATTACAAAAGTACTTTATAAAATCTGCACCCGTTCCGCCTTATCTTGCCCCCAGTCCCCCATCCCGCTTTGTTTAACAAACGGTTTTGGACGGGAATAGAACCCCCTCCCATAACTGTCTTATCGAAAAGTTGAGTAGTTATGCTGAACCAAAATAGGGATGTGAATGACGTTCTCCGTCCTAGATCTCCCCGTTGCCATCCCTAAGAATGAGGGTGTAACACTAACACTTGCAAATAAATTATTTTGAATGTATGTCGCTCTAATTGTTTGTTCTTTCTCTCAGACTTTGTGTGATTTATATTTTGTTATTTTTTTTATAATTATTTTGAAACTCAAATAGTCATATTTACTCGAGATATTACTGTTGCAATGATAATGTTGGGGATTGGAATCACTTTGCCAAAGCAAAGTGAACTTAAAAAGGAAAACAGATCTCTTCTCATCTCATTCTTCTATTATTGAAGTTATATAATATGGGGTCCACCACCCATATTTGTATTGATGTAATTGGTGCAGTGATGTGCATTTCTACAATTGGTATGTTGATGTTATAAAAGAATTTGATTGGTTGAATGATGTATAACCCACCTAAGCAAATGTAGGCGCCGAATTCAGCGATGTATTCTATATTTACATATGAATATAATGGACATGAATAAGTGCAACTATCAGTTGTTCTCTTTTCTTCTCTCTCGCTTATTGTTCTTTTAACTTTTAATTTCTATATTGTGATATTATATTTCTATTACAACCATACAATAGTTATTATATTTATAACAGAAAAAGAAGAAAAGGAAAAATAAAAATAAAAATGATACGGCGTCGTCTTGGTTTGCTCCCGAAAGCTAAAACACTTGCGCGATCTGTATAATCTGTCTCTCTGTGTCTCTCTTTCAAATTCATCATCATCATCAGCGCGTCTTCGATCTGAAGTAGAAGTCATTCGATCCATTGCTCTTCGACTTACACCTTCATCTCTGCAGTTCGCCAAGCAATCAGAGTCCGGCGAACGGCGAGACTCAGGTTCTTACTCTCTTTCTCTCTCTCTCTAGATTTTCTCTCTTAAATTTTTGCCATGAAATTCAGCATTGACTGAGCTTTCCTGTATTCATCTCGTCTCAGCTGCTACGAACACTGTCAAAATTTATGTTTAATTGATTGTTTTAGGGTAATCCTCAAAATAATGCTTTTACAGATTTTCAACTTAGGTTTTTGTATACGTTTTTAACAGTATCGAGTTTCGTCACTCGATTCATATGCTGTGTTCTTGTTTTTTCTTTTGTATCAAGTAGTAGATCCTCATTGTTTCATATCTTGTTGGCATCATGTCCCAGATCTATGTAGCTCGATCCACCAATTCTTCTATCTACATATATATGTATGTATGTATAGAGAGAGAATCGTGATCTAGGTTTTCTTTGTGCTGGAATTTATAGGTAGTGATTCTGGCAATAGTAAACACACTAATGCTATAGTTTTTTTCTTCATTATCCAACAAAATCCGAAAATGAGATGCGGTCATTGCTCTCAGAGAGAGAGTAAATGTATATATGTATTTACTTATTAAAAAAAAAGAAGAAAAGGTATATATATATATATAGTATATATCTTCTTCTTCTTATTTCGTTGGCAAGATGTGGACTTGAACCCTAGACCTTCTTTTGGAAGGTGAAGTAGTACCATTAGGCTACAATGCCCGAGGTAAGTGGCGTGTTTGGAAGTGGGAAAGGATATTTTTAGGGTTTTTGGGTGTGAAAGACTAAGCAGTCATTTTCTAACGACCTGGTAGGCCCTTATTTGCAACATGTGGAAATACTTTAGGGACTTGTATACACAAAACATAGCAGATGGGTGTTACAATATGAATACAAAGAGGGTGTTTTTTGTACTATGCCATTTATTTTATATCACAGTTAATATCCGGTCCAATCAAATTGGCCTGTTTTAAATTACGTGCTGCAAGCATGCAAGTTATGGTCAAATGGGTGAGTGTATGCGAATTCTAGAGGGGTAGGGTCCTATTACTGACTGTTGGACTGTTCATAATGGCTTGAACAGTTTTTGACCAGTCCAGCAACATACTGATTGATGCATTATGTGAAGGGAATTCCCTTTAATTTAGCAAACAATTTTCTAACCCAATCATGATATCTTTCATGGCTAAAAGGTTTTGGCTTAAATATGTGTACGTTGTTCAATCCATTTGGTGTGCATCATAGATCATAGAACAAAACATCAGTCAACTTCCATACTGAAATAATACTGTACTGAACCGAAGATTATTAATGGATGTGCATCCTTAGGACAGGACAAGGAAGATCAGAGTAGGTAACACTATCACTTCATATCTGTTATTTGAATACGTCTGCAGTTGCAACTGAGTGGTGAGTCCCTATGCTATGTAGATCATAGCATGCACATTATGCACTAATTCTGTGTCTAAGAGAAGGCAACACAATTAGTGCATAGGATAAAGCTGTTGCTCAGTTATACACCTACAAACCAAATTTCTGGACTTGACCGCAAGCATGAAGTACTTGTTTATTCTTTTATTCACTGTATTTTACAGGATGACTGATAATTTAGTTGACTTACACTTATTGATTAAAATCAAAGAGCACATATTCAACGGCTCATTTTTTAGCGATATTTATTTAGTATCAGTTGACTTAAACTCAAATTGATTAAAGAGAATCATAGAATATATATTCAACAGCTCATATTTTAGAGATATATTTTATTTTTGATTTTGTGGATAGCTTAAAGTTGCAGTGTCGCTGTAGGCGACTTCTTGTTCTCTTGGAAGCAATCCCCTTTTGAGTGCCTTTAATGAATATTTACTTATAAAAAAAAATACTTTAGAGATATTTTTGTCTTCCCTCTTAATATTTATATGTAAAGTATTATCTTAACTTGACCCTAAAAGGGAAAAACACTCTTGTTTGCTCAGGCTAAGAGTTCTCTTAGTCAAACATAAGTGATTAACAGAACATGATAAGAAATAGCAAATCATGATATCATAAAGAAGTGAAATACTATTAATCACATATACAAGATCCTATTGACACTAAAACTCCCATTTAATTAGCAGATTCTTTCAAACAAACCAAAATGAGTGTGTGCCAAAAAAGGTGAAAGACTAAACACAACATATATGGATTCATATCCAATAAGTAATTGATGCAAATCTAATCCTTGAGTTGATTTTTAAATTCGAAAAATGAAAATAAAAAATTTGAAAAACTTTTGAAGATTAAACTCTTCATTCATTGAATGGCTCAAAATCTAAAAATCATACCAATCTATAGTCTAATTTAACTGTAACAGTAGAGTGAATTTTTTCTCTTCTTTCCCTTAGATACCTTAACAATATAAAATTTAAGAATAAAAAAAGGTATTTTATTTTGTTTTCTTCAGGTTTCCACTTTCCAGACAACTAAAATATGTCAAGTCCCTAGAAAACAAAATGTTGTAGAAAGGATAAAAAGATAACATTGAATTGGTGAAACACGGAGAGATCAAAGGGGTAAAATGGGTGGTAGATTGTTGGATTGAGATAAATGGTTTACCTTTTAAGATCCATTATTGAAATTCAACCAAAGATTTGAGAGAGATGAAAGCAAAGTGGACTGTGTTACTAGTACTGAAAATGCAAAATAAACTTAATTTGTAAGATCAAGAGTGGACTTATATGTTCGGTGATGGTGAAGTGTAAACACATTGGTCGAAGCGTTGCTGATGGATTGGTTCCAAGAGTGATTAGAAGTCCTTATAGTGAATAATTCAGAACTCAGAAAAGCATTCTAATAGGGCATGATTTTAGGTAGGTACCTTTTATTAATTTAGATTTTAGTTTTAATCCTTCAAGGGATGTACGACTCAGATGGGTTGGTTCAGACTTCACATTCTTTCATCTAGTCAATTAGCCTTTCACATGTGCTTAATTCAGGCTGTAAAATGAATGGTTGGTGGTATTGATTGGTTTGCTGCCACGATATTTGATTTATTCCGTGGCTGTTTATTATTAAAGGTCGACTGTGAGGCTAGTGTGAGCTATTCTAACTTGTAGTGTCAACAGGCATCGTGAAACATAGTATTTCTACAAAGTTTAAAGCTTCTTTACTTTCTTTATTTAGTCTTTTAGTAACGAGCATCAGTGAACATGAGTAGGAGGATTTGATTTTTTAAATGCTGGGTCTTTTCATTGATATATGTAGCAAACTTCACTAATATGTAACTAATTGACACATTTAATGTAATTAACTCAATACGTTTTTACGTATACTAGGTGGTGGAGCTCATATTTTATCATGGACATTAATGTTGGTAGGAAGGAGGATTTTGTTTTGGTGAATGGTGATGGTGGTGTCAGTGCATTGACATAATTGTGATGGGTGGGTGTTGGTAGTGGCATTTGTTGAAGAGGTGATGTGGAGTGGGGAGGCAGTGGCAGTATAGTTTAGAGCAGTAATATGGTCACAATAGTGACGTATACTAGTGTAGTGGACCAGTGGTACTGCTACTCATGCTTACCAAAAGCTGTTTTCTGAAACCATAAAAGGATTTTGCTATTGTTCTGTTTCATTAGTGTCATTGTTCATAAGAAATTCTTAAGATGCCTTTATATATAGTGATTATTTGATGGTAGTACCATGCTCAAGCTGCATGTAATGTGTTTGCAGAAATGTTGTAGTTGCTGTTTTAACATGTATGATTAATTCAGAGATAGGTGCTTTGTTGGAGGTGTCTTGTTTATGTTACTTGCTGAGCTGGAAGAATACAGCTATATTGGTTTCCTCTGTGGACCCTGAGGGGCATGCTTTGCTAGGTTCTGGTACTTTCTCTGCATACAAGTTGCTAACTACAGATTGAACTGGTGCTCTTAGCAAAAATTATTCGACTTGAAAATTGGGTTTCTGAAGCTGCAATATGGAATTAAGACAGTCGAAGAAGATTGTGAAAGAATCATTGTAGCATGTAATACTAATTCAAAAGTAGGTGCTGCGTTGGAGTTGCCTCCTTCATGATACTTTCTGAGATCCTTTTGGCTTATTAATTGATAGTAATCTCCTAATGAGTATGTATATTGGGGTTCTCTGTAGACAATGAGGGGTATGAATTGCTTGCTCCCAGCACTTTTTCTGCATAGCAGTTGTTAATTACAGATTGAACTTGGTATCTTAGAGAAATTAATTTCAATATGGGGCGTCTAAAGCTGCAGTCTGGAATAAAGTCAATTGAAGAAGAACCAGAAGATTGTGAAACAACACCCTCTTCTAACAAAGCTGCTTTAGCATGTACGATTAATTCAGAAATAGGTGCTGTATTGGCAGTTATGAGGAGGAATGTGAGATGGGGAGGTCGTTATATGACAGGTGATGATCAGCTAGAGAACTCTCTCATCCAGTCTTTGAAGACTTTACGGAAGCAGATATTTTCTTGGCAGCATCAATGGCATACCGTCAATCCTGCTGTGTATCTCCAGCCATTTTTGGATGTGATTCGATCTGATGAAACTGGTGCACCGATCACAGGTGTTGCTTTGTCATCTGTTTACAAGATTTTAGCTCTTGATGTACTCGATCTAAATACTGTTAATGTTGAAGATGCTATGCACTTGGTAGTTGATGCTGTGACTAGCTGCAGATTTGAGGTGACTGATCCTGCATCAGAAGAAGTGGTCCTGATGAAGATACTTCAGGTTCTTCTGGCTTGCATGAAAAGTAAAACATCAATTCTGCTTAGCAATCAGCATGTTTGTACCATAGTGAATACTTGTTTCCGGGTAGTTCATCAAGCGGTGACAAAAGGCGAGTTGTTACAGCGAATAGCCCGCCACACGTTGCATGAACTTGTTAGGTGTATTTTCTCACACCTTCAAGATGTTGACAACACTGAACGTTCATTGGTTAGAGGAGGTGGTTCTGTCAAACAGGAGGTAGGTCTGCTGCTTGTTTTCCTCTTTTTGTTTTCTAATTGGGTGCACCTTTTACCATTCTTCTTTTGGTTATGGAAAGTGAGTGAATATCTATTAAAATACTGAGAACGAAAAATATATGATAATAAAATAACTGTTGATTATCTCTCACCCTCCCCCCCACCAAAATAAATATATATATATATAAAACTAGTGGTTTCATGGAAACTATGCGAATCCTGACAGTGACTACCAATCCCATCGGAAAAAGAACCTTTAATTCTTCACCCCCTCCCACCCCCCATCACTTCACAACTCCATGTTATCAGAAACCATGCTACTATATGTGGTTTCATTTTCGTTATTTCTTGAGAACTTAATCTAGCATTCAGAATGTATGTCTGCTCCTAGGTTGAGTACCATGAACAATGGTGTTACTGTGATTCAAAAATTGCTTGTTCATCTATTAGTTTACCACTCTGGACTATAATCTACATGGGACAATATTGATGGCCACAATAGTCATTTTTTTTTTTTAAGGGTGGGAGAGTTTGCACTTTACAAATTGCTGACACTTGATCAAGTCACAAGAAAACAACAAATAATAAGAGACTAAGAGTCATATAGGATTTATCTAATTAAATCCAAGCTAAGGCAACGGGAGAGAAAGGCCGAAAGGCAGGTTGTAGTGAGCATCTCCGTGGTGGGTGGTGGTTACCCTGAGGGGGAATCACCTAAATTACAGCCATTATCTTTTTCTATTTTCTCGTAGTATTAGTATTCGTGCTTCATGGTAGGACTAGTAGTTGTATTCATAGTCTGGTTATGTAAAATCACAGCTATTATAGTAGCACAAGTAGTTGCATTCATAGTCTGGTTATGTAAAATCACTGCCATTATATGTGCGTGTGTTTTAAATGGCTGAGGCCTTGAAGCAATCTCTTGTGCAAAAGTTTTGGTACTTTGGTACAATGAATCCATGTGTCAAAACTGCAGAATTTGCATACGAAATTATATACAGCTTGCTTTATGAAAGCACATTAACCCATTTTTTTCTTGTGCAGGCCGGTGGGATTGATAATGATTATAATTTTGGGGGTAAGCAATCAGAGAATGGGAATGGTAATTCAGTATATGATAGCCAAACATCCTCTGGAAGTTTGGTTTCTAATGCTTCTGGTGGCCTAGTTACTGGTATGATGGATGAAAACATGATCGGAGCTGGTAACGGAAAGGATGCTACTCCATATGATTTGCATTTAATGACCGAACCATATGGCGTTCCCTGTATGGTGGAGATATTTCACTTCTTTTGTCAATTGTTGACTCTTGTTGAGGATACGGGAGCCACTGCCATTCCCAAACCAAATCCTATAGCGTTTGATGAAAATGTGCCTCTTTTTTCCTTGAGCTTGATCAATTCAGCTATAGAATTGGGTGGTTCCTCTATTTGCCGACATCCTAGATTGTTGAGTATGGTACAGGATGAACTATTCCGTAGTCTGATGCAATTTGGCTTGTCTGTGAGTCCACTTATTCTTTCAATGGTCTGTAGCATCGTTCTGAATCTTTATCATCATTTGCGCACTGAACTTAAACTACAGCTCGAGGCTTTCTTTTCCTGTGTGATTTTGAGGCTTGCACAGAGTCGATATGGGGCTAATTATCAGCAGCAGGAGGTCGCAATGGAGGCTCTTGTTGACTTTTGCCGGCAGAAAACTTTTATGGTGGAGATGTATGCCAACTTAGATTGCGACATAACTTGCAGTAATGTGTTTGAAGACCTTGCTAATTTGTTGTCCAAAAGTGCATTTCCAGTGAACTGTCCTTTGTCTGCAATGCATATTCTTGCTTTGGATGGTCTGATTGCAGTAGTTCAGGGAATGGCTGAGAGGATAGGCAATGGATCAGTCAGCTTGGAACTGTCTCCTGTAAATCTTGAGGAGTATACCCCATTCTGGATGGTGAAGTGTGACAACTATAGTGATCCTGATCATTGGGTTCCATTTGTCCGCCGGAGGAAATACATCAAAAGAAGGTTGATGATTGGAGCTGATCACTTTAATCGGGACCCCAAAAAAGGGCTGGAGTTTCTCCAAGGAACGCATCTATTGCCTGACAAACTTGATCCCCAAAGTGTGGCTTGCTTTTTCAGGTACACTGCTGGGTTAGATAAGAATCTTGTTGGAGATTTCCTGGGAAATCATGATGAGTTTTGTGTTCAGGTTCTTCATGAATTTGCTGGGACTTTTGACTTCCAAGACATGAACCTGGATACTGCATTGCGGCTGTTTTTGGAAACTTTCCGACTGCCTGGTGAATCACAAAAGATACAGAGGGTTCTCGAGGCCTTTTCGGAGAGATATTACGAGCAATCACCTCACATTCTTGTTAATAAGGATGCTGCTTTATTATTGTCCTACTCATTAATAATGCTCAACACAGATCAGCACAATGTACAGGTGAAGAAAAAGATGACAGAGGAAGATTTCATCCGGAATAATCGGCACATCAACGGTGGCAATGATCTCCCTAGAGACTTTCTGTCAGAGTTGTACCACTCAATTTGCAAGAATGAGATCCGCACAACCCCCGAACAGGGTTCCGGTTTCCCTGAAATGACCCCAAGCCGTTGGATTGATCTAATGCACAAATCCAAGAAGACTGCTCCATTCATTGTATCCGATTCCAGAGCCTACCTTGACCACGATATGTTTGCTATAATGTCAGGTCCGACAATTGCTGCTATCTCTGTGGTATTTGATCATGCAGAACATGAAGATGTATACCAAACTTGTATCGATGGATTCTTGGCTGTTGCTAAGATTTCGGCATGCCATCATCTTGAAGATGTTTTGGATGATCTGGTGGTGTCTCTCTGTAAGTTCACAACCCTCTTAAACCCATCATCTATCGAGGAACCTGTTCTAGCCTTCGGTGATGACATAAAGGCCAGGATGGCAACTGTAACAGTCTTCACCATTGCAAATAGATATGGTGATTTCATCCGCACAGGCTGGAGAAATATCCTGGATTGCATCTTAAAATTGCACAAGCTTGGTCTTCTTCCTGCTCGTGTTGCCAGTGATGCGGCGGATGACTCAGACCTACCTTCTGACACTGGACATGGGAAGCCTCTTACAAATTCTTTATCTTCAGCTCACATGCTATCCATGGGGACTCCTAGGAGGTCTTCTGGACTGATGGGTCGGTTCAGTCAGCTATTATCCCTTGATACAGAGGAGCCAAGATCTCAACCTACTGAGCAACAACTTGCAGCTCATCAGCGCACCCTGCAGACAATTCAGAAATGCCACATTGACGGCATCTTTACGGAGAGTAAATTTTTGCAATCCGATTCTTTGTTACAGCTTGCACGGGCCCTCATTTGGGCTGCAGGGCGACCCCAGAAGGGAAATAGTTCTCCTGAGGATGAAGACACTGCAGTTTTCTGCTTGGAATTGCTGATTGCAATAACCCTGAACAACCGGGATAGGATTGTACTTCTCTGGCAGGGTGTTTATGAGCACATATCTAATATTGTTCAGTCAACTGTGATGCCTTGTGCCCTGGTTGAGAAGGCTGTTTTTGGACTCCTTCGGATTTGTCAGCGGTTACTTCCTTATAAAGAAAATCTGGCTGATGAACTTTTGAGGTCATTGCAGCTGGTTTTAAAGCTAGATGCTCGGGTTGCTGATGCTTACTGTGAGCAAATCACACAGGAAGTCAGTCGTCTTGTGAAAGCAAATGCCACTCACATCAGATCCCAAATGGGGTGGCGAACTATCACATCCTTACTTTCCATCACAGCTCGACACCCTGAAGCTTCTGAAGCAGGATTCGACGCACTATTATTCATCATGTCTGATGGAGCACACTTGTTGCCCGCTAATTTTGTTCTCTGCATAGATGCAGCAAGGCAGTTTGCCGAGTCTCGTGTTGGACAGGCTGACCGGTCTGTTCGTGCACTGAATCTTATGGCAGGTTCTGCTGCTTGTTTAGCACGATGGGCCCAAGAAAATAGGGAATCGTTGGGGTCTCAGGATATAGGGGAGATGTGGCTGAAGCTTGTGCAGGGTATGAGAAAAGTTTGTTTGGACCAGAGAGAGGAAGTTAGGAATCATGCTATCATATCATTGCAAATGTGCTTGACAGGAGTGGATGGCGTCCAACTTCCACATGGTTTGTGGTTGCAATGTTTTGATCATGTCATATTCACAATGCTTGATGACTTGCTGGAAATTGCGCAGGGGCACTCTCAAAAGGACTACCGAAACATGGAAGGAACACTAATCCTTGCCTTGAAGCTACTGTCAAAAGTATTTTTACAGTTGCTTCATGAGCTCTCGCAGTTAACAACCTTTTGCAAACTGTGGCTGGGTGTTCTTGGTCGTATGGAGAAGTATATGAAGGCCAAAGTCAGAGGGAAGAGAAGTGAGAAGCTTCAAGAACTAGTCCCTGAACTTCTCAAGAATACTTTGCTTGTAATGAAGACAAGGGGAGTGCTTGCACAGAGGAGTGCCCTAGGTGGAGATAGCTTGTGGGAACTGACATGGTTACATGTGAATAACATTGCTCCATCTTTGCAATCTGTGGTGTTCCCAGATCAAGATTCAGTGCAGTCACAGCCTAATCAAGTTGAAATGGGTGGAAGTCTTGTATCTGACGAAACTGGTTCTGCTCCTAATGAAACTGCAACTCCAGAAGCTTGTACAGGAGGCTAACAGTTTGTACAATGTTCTTTGATTTGAATTGCTTCTTTTAATGCATGTTCTTTACATGGTATGATAGTGAACAGTGGTGATTTTAGGTGGCAGTTTCTGTTTCTACTACTGCATATAAAAGCCTTTTGATTTATATAAACAGTAAATTTATTGTGTGTTCTCTTTCAATTTTTGGCCTTCTTGCTGTCTTTGTGATTTCTAGAATCTATTTAAATGTGTGCTTACAGTGGTGTTCTTTTAGGTTCACGAGGCTCGCATTGTGAAAGTTGTTTGGGATGTGGTTCGTCACTCCTTCAAATGGAATTTTGTCATTGTGGGAGGAGGTTCTTGAAGGTATTTATTGAGTTTGCCATATTGTTTTACTCATTTTTGAAGTTACCATTTCCAAGAAGTATTTAGTAGTCTAAAATTAGGAACCATAGTGATTTTGGGTCAATTCTGTTTTAAGGATGCTAAAACAGTGTTTTGTGAAGTTGGCTTAATTGCAAAAAAAAAAAAAAACCCTGGACAGTAAAATCTTTGCATATCACCCCCTGTACATTTTACATATCTCCCCCATGTACATTTGAACGAGTGACGAACCGCATCCCAAACAACTTCCACAATGCTAGCCTCGTGAACCTAAAAGAACACCACTGTAAGCCCTGTCAATCTGTCATTACGAACTAGCCATTAGGCAGAACCCTTGACTGTCACTTGCTGTCCTCTTTTTTTGAAAACCTGGGAATGTCCCTAACTACTCTCTCCCCATTCTTATAAACCCAAATACCCTAACATGTGACCGTACTATCTCTCTCTCTCTCTCTCTCTCTCCCCCCTACTTCTCTTTATGTTCCTCCCTTTCTGTTTATGGATCTATCGCCGCATTCTTTAGTTTTTAACTGGGCATATTTTGGGTGTTATAGAACGATATAAGACGCTTCACTCTGTTTATCTCGATTACCCCATCTCATTTACAAGCTTCAATCTCTAGAATGATCTAACAACTTCCACTTCTATTAGGCTTTGAAGGGCACAAACATCCTGATAAATAGAGAACACATAACGATTTACTCAGGATACTAAACGAGCGTATGATCTATATATATTGACCTTTTATTGAAGTTAATGGATTGGTGCTGTTAACAATAACTGGTCGTCTTTGACGCTGGGAATCCAACTGTTTTTTGCAGGGTTGGTTCTGAGCACCATCTTTCATTGTCCTCCATTTTCATAGCCTCTCTGCAGTTGTAAATCATAATCATCTTCACTTCCTTGACTCACCAGCTTTATAAACCCATTTCCTATCCGCCCAAATACAAGAAACCAGCTTTTGACATCTCTCTCATGCACATGCACACAAAATTGTAAAAAGAGAAGAAGACTAATTAAATTCCGTATGGTGCTGTTTACTGTTGTAGTACTGGTTTCCACAAACTTGTCTTTGGCCTATTGGCACCTGAAAATATGGCCCGGAAAAACATCATATATACATGAAGGATAGTATTAGAGAGAAAAAAAACAACATTTAGACATCTGGAAAAATTTAAAAGTGAGAAGTGCTGTGATGAACATAGGATTGAGTTCATAGAGATTGAAACTTATTGAACTCGACGAGTGTGAGGGAGATAGAGTGAGAAGCAGGTTTATGAGCTAAAGGTTCTGCCAAGAAGACGTCGTATGAGATAGTATATTTCTTTATTATTTATTAAGGATCAAAAAGGTAATTTTACTATGCACTTAACAGAAACCTATCATAGAGATTGAAACTTATTGAACTCGATGAGTGTGAGGATAGAGTGAGAAGCAGGTTTATGAGCTAAAGTTGCTGCCAAGAAGACGCCGTATAAGATAGTATATTTCTTTATTATTTATTAAGGATCATTAATGTAATCTTACTATGCACTTAACAGAAACCTATGGGGTTGTCCTATTGGTCTTCTTTGCAAGTTTTTTTATCGTTTGGAGGGTAAATTTTATTCCAGTGGGGCAACTTGCAAAACTTGGTGGAATCAAAGTTTATTACTCCTGAAACTGTTGTAACGTAAAATTTGCAGCAACATATTTAAAGACCCAAAACTAGAATAACAAGCATTAGAAGGCAAAGGGAGTCGTACATAGACAGCATAACAAGTTACAAATAAGTTGCTAGAACAAAGATTGAAGGACAAACAAAGCAAAGACCAGAATCTAAATCAATTTTGTGTTGCAATAGAAGCTGGGATTGAGTTAGTAGTAGTGAATGGGAAGGGACTTGGGGGGACCTTAACTTCAACAACCCCTTTAAGCATCTGAGTTACCTTCCTCATTGTGGGTCTTAAAGACAGGTCTTCTTGAATACACCAAATGGAAACCATTACAAACCTCTCTAGCTTCATCCTATCATTCATGGTCTCCATGGCTCCATGTCACCTTCAACCAGTGCATCCATCGTTCCTTCTTGAAGTATTCAAACAAGTCGATATAAACCCGTGAATAGATGTGTGTGTGTATATATATTATATACACTGCATATAAATTGATAGAAAAAAGATCTTGATGAGATACCAATTACCCAACAGGGACGAGAGGGTTTTTGATGTCCTTCTCTTCAAACAGATCTTTTCTGAATTGGCAGCTCCCATCTTACCTCACTTTCCGATCAAACCCAACTGACAGCTCCCCTGCCACCATCGGCTGCCTCTTCCCCGCACAACCCGCTGACATTGCCCGAGTCAAAAACATCTCCGACGTCATCAATGAGAGACTGAAATAGAGAGAGATCAAACTGAGAGAGAGAGTGAAATCAAGAGAGCTGAGATCGGAGAGAGAGACCCAGAAATTGAAGGACATCGTTTAGGACTCTTTAGTTTTGTCATTTCATTCCTCAATTAACGGCAAATTGAAGGATTTGTCCTTATATGCTCAATTTGGAAAATGTAATGGAATTTTTTGAGCACGAGGGTTTTTTTGCACATTCTGTATATGGCAGAGGGGTTTTTTTCCCTTTACATGTGTTTTTTCCTGCGTTTTCTTTTGGTTTCTTTGTTGCTCTGCTGTAAACATTCCTGATCTTCTCAAAGTCATAAATTGATCTTTCCCTGCACTGCACGATTTTATTGCTAAATTCTTTTAAAAATGAAGAAATCACGTTTTCCTCTGAACAGTTTAATTTTGCGAATTCGCTGTTCACTATTTATCTTTATATCATATATATAGCCTTTTCTCTTATTCCAAAAATTCCCTTGGTGTTCCACCTTAATACAATTTTTATCCTACAGTCTTTGTTTTTAACAACTGCATTTTTTTTTTTACACTAGAAGGGTGGTGTATGAGAAAGATAAAAGAGGGAGAGAAAGTAGGGAAGTAGGAGAAAGAGCATAGCTAGAGTTTAACAACCGAAATTAATGGGATTATGCGGCATAAGTTTGAAAAAGTATTTTATCATTTCCCCTGGTTGTTATGTTAGGATAATGTTTTTTGATAATTTAGTATTGAAAGGGGTAACCTAGTAGGAAGCCAGGCTTGAGATGCTTGGAAGGCTGGACCCCTTTGTATTTGGTGGGGGATTTGGCTTGAAAAAAATGTCTCTTGAAGTTTTGATGGAGTTGAAGCTCTGGGATGGATGATAAAACACCATATTCTGAGCTCATCTTTTTTGGGGTTTCAGGGAGGGCTTATAAATCTGTGGAGGAATTTCTTGGTTTTTTGGATAGCCTGAGAATTTTTTATTTATTTATTTATTTTTATTTATTATTTTTTTTCATTGGCAGGAAACACAACTCACACACCCACTCATTTATGCTTTTTTGCCCACACCCAGACTCGAACCTCTTCCTTCTTCTTTGAGGATGGGGTGTTATACCATTGGGCTAGATGCCCTTTGGTTAGCTTGAGATTGTAGAGATGCAGATAATAGTTAATTTTCCCCCCTTTGTGCAGTTGTTCTTGGATTCACTTCCCCAGTGCTTCTTAATGAAATCTTATCCAAAAAAAAAAAGGGAAAGAAGGAAAGCATTCTAATAGGGGCATAAATTCCATTAAATAGATGCATACATATATTTATTATTAGGTCCTTTATTCAATCATTTTTACATCAGCATATTTATTATTAGGTCCTTGATTCAATAATTTTTACATTTCCATTCTTTTTATCTAGGCATACATATATGTAAAAAATATTTACTGCCCCACCATTCTATGCATATAAGTACTTTCTTCTTTCATCCTATGAAAAGACAGAAGGGCCCCTCTTATTTGTTGGTTCTACTCTTAAGAGGAGGGGCATAAATATAATTCTAAAACTGAATTAGTGGATCTCCTCTTTTCCGTCTCTTCTCTTTTTTTGTTGGTCTCTCTACTTTTTGCTCCTCTTTCTAGGAAAAATCACCATCTGCATAAACAACTCACATCCCCACCAACCACTTGATCTTCTGATAACCACTTAACCCAACATGTCCTCAATCTAGCACACTAACCATCCTCCATTCACCCCCTCCCACCCCACCATCTTACGTTTGCAATTCTCACCACCATCAGGTCAAATCACCATCTCCTTCACAATCCATCATTAACCTTTTTCTGATTCACATCACTATCTCTATTCTGCCCCCTTTTCCCAGACAATCCATACTCGCTCAAATATCATATTTCTTATTTTCTGTGGTGCCATCAACAACAAATATTCAGAAGTTAAAACTGAATTTGGACTGAGCATTAGGCAAAATTTTTAACTTCTGATTGGTGTGCTGGAGGTGGTGCAAGAGCTTGGAGAGAGAGATTTGATGAAAAGAAATTGGTGCCTGACTGAATGGAAAAAAGAGAGGAGGAAACACAAGTGCGAACTCAATGGGAAATTTCACCCGCCACCCTTTGAAATCCACCAAAGGGATGAGAGCAGAGATTTTTGACAAACATGGATGATAGATGAGATTGACACTCAATCCTGTGTTTCTTTCTATTGTCAAAAGATGAATCTTACAAAAAGTTACCGATGGGAGTAATATTTAACTTATTCTGCATGCATGTGTGTTCATTTCATTTCATTTTCATCCTTCAATCTTTCTCGAAACACCCAAGACAAATTCCGAGGATATGGCGGGAACCAAATTTTCATCTCTTGTAGATAATATAAAGGACAATATTGTTGTCAAAACTGAGATATACCCCTAAATAAGGCAAGAGTGGTAAAACAAACCCCTCTCTAATCTGGACAAGGTGTAGCATAAGGGAAGATGAAAAGAACACTAGCTGAAATAGATGAAATCGTGGTATTGAAGACCAACATATCTATTTAAACATGTGATTAGTCCTGTTCTCTTGTGTAAACTTGCTCCTTGCAGGTTAAACCAATAGTTTATTTTTGTTGAATGTGATCAGTCAACTACTAATTCCAAAATATTATATTAGGATGCTCGTTGATATACAGAAGTCCATATGGTGAACTATATTTGTTTATGTATTGTCTTTAACTGCGTAACAATGTTCTAAGCGCAAGTTGTGACTTCTAAGCTGATGCATAGATTATTATTATTATTTTTATTTTTGGTGTGTGTGTGTTATGGATAATTAAGCTGATGCACAGTTTTCTAATACCTATAATCCCTTTGAAATTCCAAAACGGTGTCATGCTATGCATGTTTGATATTTTCTGTGAAGTGCTTGATATATGATTTTCATTAGAATTGGCAAATGATTTATGCCTTTTGTGTTTTACCAGCAATATGTATTGATCATATTACCTTTTCAAATCAAACTTCCACAGGTCTTAGTTTTGTCCCAGATGCTGGATATTCAAGGTTCGACCAAGGAGCTTCACACCACGTTCATGTGCCTATTAGTAACCGCAAGATTCCTTTGGTATTGCTTGCAGACACAATTGTAGGGTTTTGGCAGTCTAGAGTATATACTTCCTGTATGTTTCCTTGCTTGTGGAGTTAGTGTAAACTAGAGTTACATCTGGTGGATCAATGAGGCGGACTTAAACAAAGCACGTATTATGAATCACTTGAATTTCCAGAAAATTTGATATTGTCACGAGAACCATTTATGTATATACGTGTTATAAGCTATGCCAATGGTATCAAGTTTATCATCTGCTTCTTTGTTGCCTATTTCTGTTTTGTTCATATCCACCGTCCAGTTGGAAGCTTTGGCAATGGCTCTTATAGGAGTTTATAGAAACTTTCTTCAAATGTTCTTCCACACAGGCTACCCATTCAGACATGTCTCGTAAATGCAAGATGGGCATGGACCCTGGCAAATTAGTTCTACCTGGAAACCACCTTTTTGCAGTCTTGGGGGGCTTTGTAAATGATAACAATGCATTCTGGCTGGTGAGAAAATAGAATGGTCAACTCCATTTCCTCGAACAAAAATTTTAAATGTCTGCCTTTAGAAACACAACAGAAATTTTAAACCCGAAATGAGTAGATACTGCTGTTAATTTGTGTAAATCATAATGAGGATCTGCAAAATGAGAAGGCACAGTTTCTAAAGGGGTAAATGGTTAGAGGGGATAAGGGATGGTGCAAGGCTTGAACACGGACTCCCAGATACGGGAAACAACCCAACCACATGGGTAACATGGTGCTTGCAGGGTGGTATGATATCTTGTAACGACCCACTCTACCACATGGTATGATATTGTCCGCTTTGGGCCTGAGCCCGCACGGTTTTGCTCTTAGGCTTCACCCCAAAAGGCCTCATACCAATTGGAGATGATGCACTTACATATAAGCACTTCACCTTTCCTCTACCCAGGCGATGTGGGACTGTGCACCCGTAGCTCGCCAGTGTGGTAGCCTGACAGTGTCTCTCGCACCCGCTCATGGCACACCCGCCCACAAGGTCGTCACAATCCACCCCCCTTGGAGGCCCGACGTCCCCGTCGGCACACTTCCGGCTGTGTCAGGCTCTGATACCATTTGTAACGACCCACTCCACCACATGGTATGATATTGTCCGCTTTGGGCCTGAGCCCGCACGGTTTTGCTCTTAGGCTTCACCCCAAAAGGCCTCATACCAATTGGAGATGATGCACTTACATATAAGCACTTCACCTTTCCTCTACCCTGGCGATGTGGGACTGTGCACCCGTAACTCGCCAGTGTGGTAGCCTGACAGTGTCTCTCGCGCCCGCCCATGGCACACCCGCCCACAAGGTCGTCACAATCCAACTGTCACGCCCCAAAGTCCTAAATACATGAACTCTTATCTCGTATTAAGATTTGACATGACTTTCCTTACACATCCACAACTTTACAATAGAAATAATTAAATAAAGAAGTAGATGAAAACCACCCTCTAATTTATTAAATCGACACAACTATAATATCAAACAACCTTGTCAAAAATAATCCATGATAACTGGACAAAATGAACTAAACCAAAGAATGCAACAAACAAGCCAAAATCCATCACCATCATGTAATCCCATCACGTTCCTACTCAACGTATACCTGAAATGTGATAATGGGGTGAGCTCACAAGCTCAGCAATAAATGCTAAACACAATCATCGTTCAGCAAATTAACCTTACCTTATATTCCTGTATATATAAGCAACTCAAATAAGTTCATTATTCAAATGTGTATAACCCAGTTAATTATAAACTTAATAAATAACCATCTTTTATTTTTTAATAAATCGGCATATCTCACATGAGCCCCGAGCTCCCGTCCAATAAAAATGGTGTGAATCGTATAGTCCCTGACTACCAAAAACACACGTGTGGCTGGATTGTACGTCTACTCCCCAGATGATCCCTGATCACGTCCACACAATAAGGGCTCATTAGACCCATGGCCATAATAAAAGGGTAGTGCACTCCCAAATAGGTAGGTTCCTGACCATACCCAAAAGTCATCATAGAGTCAGTCCCTGACTGCCCTTCGACTAATCCAAACTCATCATTATTATTTATGGTGAATTATGAAATACATTATTAATTAATAATTTAAAATCAATAAGTAATACACACAAACACGCTTTTAATTTAAAAACAGAACCCTATAAACCCAACTAGTGAGAGTACAAAATTCTGGACATAGCCTAATATTAGATATGACTCCCTACAAAATTTCAGAAGCTAAGTCTTAATAATATTTCCGTACTCTCCATCTTAGTGCTAAAAATAATACTTTTTTCGGGTTTTAATTTCGTAAAACTACCAAAATGTCATTTAAAAATCTGGATTTCAGCAAAACTAAGTCCATTATACTTAAAACTAATATTCTGGAATTTCAATAATTTTTTTTTTTTTTTGAATACTAAAAAAAAATACTCTTCTATATTTGTTTTTCAAAATTTAAAATAATTAAATATATTATTCATTTCGGTTGAACCCGGGTATTGCCCCCAACGGACTAGGCTCGGCGAGTAGATTCCAGTGATAACTTTCAATAGTCAAACCGATGTCTCACGGCAACACACTCTCCCTCACTTTCCATTGCCAAGAATGTGCTTCGTAGAGAAGAACCCAAAGTGGGTCTTCACCACCATAATGCATTTGCTTTTCTATCTGTTTTTTTCTTTTCCAACCAATATCTAACGGTTCTACCTTCTATTGACCCCAAAGTCTACTTTTAAGCTTTCTGTAGTCAATAAAGCTTAAGTTTGAAACATCAAATTGAATGCAAGACTTACAACAATAAATTATTTCACTTATTAAAATATTCCACGCTGAACTTGAATTCTAACTCTCCGTAAATCAAACAATTCGTATAAGTATATTGATATATAATAACACCAAATCAGTTTCCATATATATACACACATATAATATCAAATCAGTCTATTAATCAAGCTTACCATGCATATAGCAAGTATAAAAACATGTGAATTACATTTATTCAATATCTATACACACAAACACACATACATGCGCATCAAGTAAGTGTCCTCCATTTAAACTTATATTCAGTGCTATTAGAACATGTGATAAAGTTTCATGCCATTCTATGCCTAATTTACATCAGATCGATATACCCTAATTCATAAAAACATGTTATATTAATTCTTGATTAATCGTAATTAGGCAGAGTTTCGTATATATTCAAGTATATAAAGCAAGATTAACTTGCCTGTTAAATATCGTTAAACCTTTCTCTCTAGCCGATCCTTTGGTCACCGTCTCTTTTTCCGGCTACTGCAAATTGCCAACGAAAAATCAGTAACCCGCTTCCTCTCTTTCTCTCTCGGTAATTTCATTTTTTTTTTTTTTTATGAAAAATAATATCCTCGTATTGATACGATGTAAAATATAAAGGATAAATATAACTGTATTCGAGATAACCTAGGACTCTTATTTAAAGTTTTAAATTTTTTTAAAAAAAAACTCTATTATCTCAACTATCACGTTAAAATACTAAATATTAAATAATAAAAAAAATAATGTACGAAATTTTAGGGTTTTACATTCTACCCACCTAAAAAGAAATTTCGTCCTCGAAATTTGCATACCTTATTCGAAGAGTTGTGGGTACTTTTCCTTCATTTCTGACTCTATCTCCCAAGTAGCCTCTCTCTCGTCCTGATGATTCCACTGCACCTTCACCAAAGGTATCTCTGCCCGCCTCAACTGTTTCACCATACTGTCAACAATGCGAACAGGCATCTCAACATAGGTTGCATTAGGACGAATCTGGACCTCTGTGCAGTCAATGGCCTGAGTTTCATCCCTCAAGCACCTCCTCAACATGGAGACATGGAAAACATCGTGAACAGCTGATAGTCTAGGTGGTAGAGCCAATCTATATGCCACCACTCCAACCCTCTCTGTGATCTCAAAAGGTCCAATGAATCGAGGAGCTAACTTCCCTTTCTTCCTACCAAATCTCGTAACCCCCTTCATTGGTGATACTTTCAAGAACACCAAGTCACCCACACTAAACTCCAAAGCACGACGGCGTCGGTCTGTGTAACTCTTTTGTCGACTCTGAGCTGTGCGAAGTCGATCTCGAATGATGGCAACCTTCTCCGTAGTCTCTTGCACCAACTCTGGCCCCAAAAAACTACCATCACCAACCTTAGCCTAACATACAGGTGAACGACAAGGTCTACCATAAAGTGCCTCATATGGTGCCATGCCGATACTAGCCTGATAGCTATTATTATAAGCGAACTCAACCAATGGAATGTGATCCTCCCAACTGCCCCGAAAATCTAGCACACAAGCACGAAGCATATCCTCCAACACCTGAATGACCCTCTCGGATTGGCCATCGGTCTGAGGATGAAAAGCAGTACTCAAACTCAAAGGAGTACCAAAAGCTGCTTGGAAACTACTCCAAAATCGAGATGAAAAACGAGGATCACGATCTGAGACAATAGACACCGGCACTCCATGAAGCTTAACTATGTCTCTAATGTAGATCTTACACAATTCCTTTACAGTATCAGTAGCTCGAATGGGTAGAAAATGAGCTGATTTAGTCAATCGGTCCACTATCACCCATACTGTATCATGGTTATGTATCGACCTCGGTAACCCCACTACAAAATCCATCGTCACATGCTCCCATTTCCACTCAGGCACAGGCAAAGGCTGTAATAGTCCTGCTGGTCTCTGGTGCTCAACTTTCACTCGCTGACAAGTGAGACATCTAGATACAAACTCTGCCACATCACGTTTCATGCTTTCCCACCAGAACTGCCTCTTAAGATCATGATACATCTTAGTGCCGCCTGGGTGCACTGTGTACCTAGAGTGATGTGCCTCCTCTAAAATCTCTCTCTTGAGGTCTGCTAAGTCTGGAACACATAGCCTACCTCGAAATCTCATACCACCATCAGCTCCATACGCCCAGTCAACATTACCTTCATCATCAACAGACTCAACTGCTTTGGTCTGTAACCTGTCATCCAGAGTCTGAAAATGAATGATCCGGCTGATCAAAGTAGGTTGTACAGTCAAACTACAAAGAATAGCCCCTGTACTCTGAGAACTCGGCATGATAGAAAACTCTGCCAATGCCTCTAACATCATCCACTCCTGAATCATCATAAAGGCAACTAATCCTCTCGGTTTCCGACTCAAGGCATCTGCTACCACATTCGCCTCATATCAAAATCCTTCATCTTCTCCATCCACCTTC